GCAACAGTCAAATATTTATTGGACGTCGTGGCACTTGGACGTCGTGCAACTGGCAGCGACTTTGGACGTCGTGCAACACTCCCGCAAATGTAACTTTTTTACAATTCTATAGTGCGCTGTTTCACGACGTCCAAGTGTCACGACGTCCAAAGCTTGTAGAAAGACTATATTTTTGGCAGTTACTGTACTTTTGGACGTCGTGGCACTTGGACGTCGTGCAACAACTCAAAAATTGTGTTTTGGACGTCGTGGCACTGAATAAATATTATTGGACGTCGTGGCACTTGGACGTCGTGCAATGCATCCTTACTGAACGATGAAGAGATTGTCTATTGTCAATTGAAAGATCGATTACTATATAGCCTAACTTACATGTTTTTAAACTGGAATTTTATATTTATTTACCTTCTTAATCTCATTTGCATTCAAATATTAGGTAAGTTACTATACTTAAAATCTATAAATTTCCTTCATAGACAAACGACAAGCAATTTTAAAGATAAAATGTAGGTAAAGTACCTACTTTTAAAGCTGAAAAGTTTAAAGGTTACAAGTGAAATTTAAATGCTTTAAAATTTTAGAGTGTGAAGTTAAATCCTACATAAAGCTAAACCCATTTTGGAATGTGTAATATATCTTAAGAATATTAATACCCGTTGTAACTATGATTTCCTTGTACATCACGCCACTGTGATCGTATGATTTTCAATAAATCTCATTGGCTACAAACATCACCTGATCCCCTCTCCACCTACATCACACCACCGTCCATGTCCGTCCGTCCCTACAACAACACAGTCTACCTCCAAAAGTCATACCTTAACCATCTGTTTGTAGCCGTGTTTTAAACATGTAAAAATATCGTATTTATTTATTTCAGTCCACTTCCTAAGTCCAATTCAACCCACGAATACAACAAATGGCGACGAGGTCGGTCAAATTTACATACCGCGCAATGCAACTGTTCGATTGTGCCGGATAGTGTAAATTTCGAACGCGTTTGTGAATGTCGGACGACGAAGTGGGCTTACTACCGTTGTTTGAAGACAGTGAAGTGTCGGGTTACTCCAACGTGGCCGGGATAATTGGCAGCATCGGCGAGTACGACCAGAACTCCGAAACGTGGTCTTCATACATAGAAAGATTTGAACTGTTCGTCGAGTGTAACAATATTAAGGAGGAAAAGAAGGTTAGCACCTTATTGACTGTTGCTGGTGTTAAAACATATAGTTTACTACGGGATCTGTGCACGCCCGACGTACCATCAAAGAAGAGTTTTAAGGAAATAGTGACTATCATTAAGGATCATCTCTACCCGAAACCATCGTTCATCGCCGAGAGATACAAGTTCAGCAAAAGAATTCAGCACGAGGGAGAATCAGCTGCGGAATACATCGCGCAATTAAGGAAGATGTCTACACATTGCGATTTCGGCGCATCTTTAAATAACTACCTGAGGGATCGTTTAGTCTCCGGAATCAGGAACGAGTCGACCAAACAAAAATTGTTAGCAGAAACCAGCCTAACCTTGGACCAAGCCGTCAAAATAATCACGTCAGCAGAAGCAGCTGAGAAGAATGCCGCAGCCTTGTCGATCAACGGGAGCCGCAACGTCGAGCGACAACAAAAGATAACGTCACACCATCGCAGAGTACCAGGCAGAAGCAGCGCACCATCAAGTGTCACCGTCACCGCACCTTCAGGTCACCACAATCACCCCAAAAGCAGCTCTTCGCACGACAACAAAGTGCAGTGTTCGTGTTGTGGAAGTGCATTTCATTTACGTAATCAGTGTCGATTGTTAGGTGTAACGCGTGTGGAAAGAAGAATCACATTGCTAAGGTTTGCCGATCTTAGAGTAAGTCACAAAAACAACATTCTCATCATTTTAGTAATATATATAACAGTAGGCATAATTATGTAGAAGCAGTAACAAGTGCAAGCGATGATAACCTTAAAGCTGAAAGCTATGCGGAAGATATTCCAAATTTATTCAAAATGAATGAAAGTAAAGTAGAAAATGCTAAAGTAGGGTAAGCCCTATTAGAGTAGAATTAACAGTTCAGGGAAAACCAATTCATTTTGAAGTTGACACAGGCGCTAGCGTAAGTGTACGTAGTGAAAACTTTTACAATGAAAATCTCAACTATTGTAAATTGTTATCCACTGACTTATCTCTCAGTTCGTACACAAATGAACCAATCGTTCCGTTAGGGAAAATTGAAGTAGATGTGCAGTATCAAGGAGTAAGCAAATGTCTAGAATTGTATGTAATTAAGAAGGGAGCTCATCCTCTGATAGGACGTAATTGGCTTCAGAGCCTTGGTGTGAAAATATCTTTCAAAGATAAAATTTTTGGCATTGATAATAACGCTAGTATTGATCAAACTGCACATAGTAAACATTGCACTGAACTAACCAAAGAATTGTTTAAAGAATTTCCCGAGGTTTTCACTGATAAATTAGGTCAATACAAAGGTGAACCAGTTCAATTAAAATTAAAAGCTAACGCCACACCTCGGTACTTTAAGCCACGGTCTATACCTTTTTCACTTAAAGCTAAAGTAGAAAAAGAGCTTGAGAAGTTAACAGAAGAAGGTGTACTTCTCCCAGTCAAAAGTTCTGATTGGGGCACTCCCATAGTTCCAGTACTTAAACCAGACGGTGGAATCCGTATTTGCGGAGATTTTAAGGTTACATTAAACCCAAGTCTAGAGGTAGAAAAGTACCCAATCCCTAGAATAGATGATTTATTTACTGGTTTACAGAAAGGTGAAAAATTTAGTAAGATAGATCTGTGCCAAGCATATATGCAACTTGAATTAGATGAAGAGTCCAAAAAACTATGTACTGTACCATAAGTACGCATAAAGGGTAGTTTAGTTATCAAAGAATGCCGTTCGGAATCTCCTCCGCAACTAGCATATTTCAGTACAGAATTGAACAATGTTTACAAGATTTACCTAATGTAGTTTGCTTTCTAGATGACATTTTGATTACAGATGTAAATGATGAATTACATTATCAAAAGCTTAGGGAAGTTTGCAAACGTCTTAAAGAAAATGGTCTTACCATTAAGAAGAGTAAATGTACATTTTTTGCACCTAAAGTAGAGTATTTAGGTTTCTGTATTGACAAACAAGGTCTACACACTTCCGAATCTAAGGTAGAAGCTATAAAAAACGCTCCAGTTCCTAAAACAGTGACAGAAGTCAAAGCTTTAGTAGGTCTAATTAACTACTATTCGAAGTTCATTCCTAATTGTTCCACTATATTAAGTCCTATGTACAACCTGCTCAAAAAGGACACACCCTTCAATTTTGATAAGAATTGTATTGCAGCTTTTGACAAGGTAAAAGAGCTACTCTCTAATGCTCCTATTTTGGTTCACTATGACACCAATTTACCTTTAAAATTAGCCGTAGACGCTAGCTCAGTAGGCCTAGGCGCCGTGTTAAGTATTGTCTCACCAGATGGCTTAGAGAAACCGATAGCGTATCAGTCACGCACACTCTCAACAGCTGAGCGAAACTATTCACAAACAGAAAAAGAGGCTCTTGCTATTGTTTTTGCAGTCAAAAAATTCAATCAATATTTGTATGGGAGAAAGTTCGTTTTGTATACTGATCACAAACCACTTCTAAGTCAATAAGTCCTTCAACATCACTAATATCATCTTCTAGTGCATTACGTACAGGGTGCGGCAAAAGTCAGTATACCGAAAAAGCAGTTAAACTGTAGCTAGCATTAAACATAACTATAAAAGTATAATTTTAATGTACCTGTTAGAGAAGCTGCTCAAAGTGACCACCATCATTGTCTATACACTTGTAGCACCTTTTCAACACTGACTTACAGATTTTGTTGCATAGTTGTGGTGTGAATAAAACATCAAAATGTTTTGTTATTAATTCTTTTAAATGTTCTAAACTTTGAGGTTTCTCCGAAAACACGTGTTCTTTTAACAAACCCCACATACTGAAATCGCACGGAGTTAGGTCTGGGGACCTAGCAGGCCACTCAATAGTTCCTCTACGTCCTATCCATTCATCGAAGTTATCATTTAAAAATGCTCGAACATTTAGGCCATAGTGTGGAGGTGCTCCGTCTTGCTGCCAAATAATCGAACGACGACGCAACTGTTCAAAAGTGGGACTGTTTTCCAACTCTAAGAACACATCTAACATCCGTATAATCACGATCGAATTTCCACCAATTTTACAAAAGAAAAACTCGATGCTCTAAAGTTAGTTTACGATCCATGATTAAAAACACCAATAATAGAAGTTAATAATATAAGCACTACACTCACCAACTTAACTTCACTGTCACTAGTGGCATACTAACAAAACAAACATTCATCGATAAAGAATAAACAAAGACAAAATCAACCACGACTAGACGTCAGATTAGATAAGGAATAACACTGAGATAATAATAGCGCGAGAGAGCCTTCGCCATAAACGATGTTCGTGTGTCGAAAAATCGACGCGTGACACTACACAAAGTGTGTCGTGAGTCGATTTTTCGACGAGTGACGCTCGGAGGGCTAATATAACTTATCAAGGTAACTTCTTATAACCTACGTAAATGTACCATCTTAATGGGGGTTTTCCTTTTGATGATTGTCATGAACTATGTAGTAGGCCTAGTTTTTACGACAGTAAATCATTTCATTTTGTTTCAAACACATTAAGTTAGGCCTAAATTAGGCTCTGTAATAAGTTAGGATAGGCCCAATTTTAAACTTAAGTAAGTAACACCTAACTTAAGTAAAACCTAATGAGTTTAACCTATTTTTTTAATGATATAAAGAAAAAAATCCAATAGCCTATATGAATGTATTTGGCTGACTTAATAAAGAAATTAACATTTTGTGAAGTGGAACACCGTTCAGAAATATTATTTTGTTAACAGTTTAAATATTATTGATTTCTAGAATGTTCATTCCTAACCTCGTCTTTATTCGGTAGCATTTAGCATTTCATGGGACTACTTACAGCTATGTCTGCTTTCCTCTTCACAAGATCTGCTAGATCAGCTCTTGTGTCTAATGATGGGACGTTTTTAGTCGTCATTTTCACTACGTATTAACTTATTAAGTTAATAAAGTTTAATAATGCTGTAAAATATTAATTTTGCGGCACACAAAAGTTACAATCGAGAGAGAACAATAGCAGAAAAAGAATCGTATCAGCATTCAGCAAAACACCTTACTCCCACTGACACTGCTGAGCTTTTTCTCATCCTTAAAAACGTCTAGTTTTATTTTAACTATGCAACTGCAAATTTTTATCTAATTTTTTTCCAAAATATTTCTTTATTTTTTATCGTATTCTTGTTTAATTTCCTAAGTAACTGCATGGATGTAATGAAGTCAGTTATGGCATAGATAAAACATACTCCCTTAGTAGATTTCTCATCCTTATGGAACAGCTGAAGACAATTTTATTGTTAGTTCTGTACGGTTTATGTAGAGGTCGTGTTTTGTTTACAATTTGTTTCCCGTTATTACAGCCATTTAAAACCTCGTTTAACCAAATAATACGATCTAATCATAAACAATAACTTGTCCCCTAGTTATATAACCAAACAGTAAAGCACAAATCAAGAAAATAACCCTAAAATAATAGAAACAAAGTTTCGTCGACACTAGCGCCTTTGTGTCACGTACATGAACTAGACACGAAAAACGTGCTTCAAAATTTACAATGGGATGAGAAGTCTACTTGTGTTGGTTAGTCTATGGTTATGGTTAATTTAGACGATAGACAATAGACAATAGACAATATATATTTATTCCTTTAAGCATACAGATAATGCAATAGGACAAGTCAAGAATTTTACATGGTAAAATACATATGTGTGAGACATAACTTAAAAACAAGATAACAGCAGCGACAAAGATTTAGATAAAATGTTTACATCAGATAAAAATCATTTACGTTCATGATAAATAGTTAACGATTCCCATTTATGTGTTTTGAAAAAAGAAAACATATAAATATATAATAAAATTTATTATATATTTATATGTTTAAAGACAACATTCTTCTTCTGTGGTAAACATTCTATTTAATAGAATGTTTCATCTACTAGGGCGCAAATTGACTCCTTATTATCGACTCGAGCTCAGGGAAATGAGTGAGGACACTGTTTGCCCGTGTGACGAACTATGCTATATTTTGTCATCATACAGCAGTATTTTCTAAGGAAACTAAGTTACAAGACAAAAATACTTTTCATGTATGGATAAGCTCCTAAAATGACTACATATAATATTGTTTTCCATTTTGCCGTTGCGAAAAATATTAAGATATTCCAGTAGTTGAAAAGACAACAATCAAAATACAACCGATACCATAGATAAAACATACTCCCTTAGTAGATTTCTCATCCTTATGGAACAGCTGAAGACAATTTTATTGTTAGTTCCTGTACGGTTTATGTAGAGGTCGTGTTTTGTTTACAATTTGTTTCCCGTTATTACAGCCATTTAAAACCTCGTTTAACCAAATAATACGATCTAATCATAAACAATAACTTGTCCCCTAGTTATATAACCAAACAGTAAAGCACAAATCAAGAAAATAACCCTAAAATAATAGAAACAAAGTTTCGTCGACACTAGCGCCCATGTGTCACGTACATGAACTAGACACGAAAAACGTGCTTCAAAATTTACAATGGGATGAGAAGTCTACTTGTGTTGGTTAGTCTATGCCGATACTTATGATAAAACCGATTGCTTAAAATCAAATTTAACAAGTGAGATAAATGTGCAAAAACAAAAAGTTCAAGTGAATTAGTAAATACACATTAACACATTTAACGAGGTTAACACAAACAAACTATTAGATTGGTTCATGATAAAAATCAACGATGTGACCATTGTCATTTATGTACCTGTTTTCATGGTCAACCAGGCTCAATGATATCAAAGAAAATAAGAAAATAGCCTCACTTTTCACAATCAACAGAAAACAAAGATGGAAGGAACATGGAACAGGAACAGCAACAGCTGACTAGCTGACAAAATGAGAATGTCTGTCTGTCTATGGTTAGGAGGCTGTCTGCTCTGCATTGTTTGCTGTAGTTTGATTGTGTTGAAGAGTTTTAAGTAATGTCATCCACTTATAGAACTGCTTAAATATAAATATACTAACAGTAGTGGTTAACATTAACAGTGGATTAAAATTAGTACATTTGTGCCCAAGATTATGCTGGTTAAAAATACCACCGTTTTAGAGTTGGATTCGTTCTTCCTGTTTTAAGTAATGAGGATATCATTAACCAAAATATTAATCGTAGCAATCATAGTTGTAATATCCGTTGTAATTGGCAACATTAGTACTATAATCAAATTAAATCCCGACCCCAGCCAACAGTTAACCTCAAAGAAATCTGAAATTAATGTCAGGTCTACTGGGAACTCAAACTGGACAACTGAAAACCCCTTACAGCTTCTGGATGACATCACTTGGTTTTTACAAGTAAGTAAGAATCACAGTGTCATAAAAAATACTTAAAATCCTTAGTTTAAGAATAGGAAAACTTTTAATGGATAGGCTAGTTAGCATACAATTTGGCTACCTAATGTAGTCAGGGCCGGATTTAGCATTTTGGCGCCCCTAGCCCCAAATTATTTTTCCGCCCTCTAGTCTGGTCACGGTTACTTTCCTACAAACCTTTATTATCATTCTTTTATTGATCAAATCCAAGAAATCATGATTAGGTAGGCCTAATCCCCTTGCGAGTTCTTGCGTTAGGGTGACAGGCATGGACATTCCAGGGTTAAACAAGGGAGGGCTGAAGCCGCCTTAAACACCTGAAATCAGTTTTATGGTGATTTGGTAAAAATATAGGCCTATATAAGTTAGTTCAAGCCTTGGTACACAAACAACTTACTGGTATCCCACACGATAAAACTACAATTTTGACTAAGTTAGGTGAAATTGCCAAAATTACGGAAGCCTGAAACTTACTTCAAAGCTACTTGTAAGTTAATGGTAACTTTTTGCTATTCTTTTATAAATAGGTGTACATATCCTCAATATAGCCTGGATCGTATATCCAAGTCAAAGAAGCTCTGCACCTAGCCTAAATAAAAATAAAAAATACCCCCCCCCCGCAGCAAACCTGCAGACTTAGCAAATTTCCATTTGCCTGATTGGATTTACACTAAAATGTCTCCTTAAAAATATCACATTTATACCTTATTTAAACAGAATTAATGACTGGGATGGGTGGCGTCGTCCTGTAATCCAGCTACTAGGAGGTCACGAATTGTGGATTTATAGGCATGCACTGTGGATACGATACTCCCTGGTGTGGATTAACGTCCGTACGAGTGAGTACTACGACTATCCGTAGTACTATCCTGATAATTAGACCAATTCGTATATACCAAGGAAAAATGTGGTTCGGATTCCACTATAATCTGTAGGTCCCTTAGTTGCCATTAGCTGTATGGGCTATTAATTAACAGCTGTGTCTAAGGAATGTCGGCCTTAGTCACTAACAAGACTACAAGATTGCGCCACTCATCCTACACTCATTTCCAATCATACTTGGCTTAAAATACCTACTATGTATGGTCGCCATTTCATTGAACAGTATTAACAGTATTAGTTTAATGAGTAGGCCTACTTAGGTTTGCTGCAACAGGGAGGGTAAAAAAGTTTTTTTTTTATGTAAAATGTTAATAGGTACTGTAGTTTAGTAAGAAATTAATGTATTTTCCAAATTTGATCAAAATATGTTCATAAACAAGCAAACTACAACAGTTGACTTATTCTCCATAAGAATAACATGGGAATTTAAAATTAACATTTTTAAAATTTTCTCCGTAACAATTAGGCGCATAATGACGCTTCAATATACTAAATTATTTGTTTTTTTAAGCTCTAAAAAATGGTTCAGAAAAAAGTTGTGAAATTTTGCGTTTTTAGGGTCAAAAATGGGAAAAACCTATTTTTAACTTTATAAACCCCCGTTAACATAGTCCGATCATGCTGGTTCGCGAACTCATTCAAGTTTATCCCGCCTTACACCTTCAAATTAAATTTTATCAAAATCGGACAAAAATTACTCATGTTATCGTTCGGATGGACACATATATATAATGGACACATATATCTGCACGATAACTTGAGTAATTTTTGTCCGATTTTGATAAAATTTGGTTAACGATATTCTTAATTATATTATTTTTCCAAGCCAAGATAAAACATGTGATTGTATTTATTTTCTTTGTTTACATATTTATATTTAATAACATTGTGAAAGACTGTGACCATGGCCTTAGTGTTGAAATGCATCAGTCATTAAAAATAATTTAAAAAAAGTGTACTATGGTGTATTATTTATTGATATTAATTACAGTAGCCCTACACGTGAACAATATCAAATACTATATAGATATATACAAATTTGAACGAATGGTGTTTTTGGCCTCTGGGGACATAAAAATGAAAAAGTAAATCGGTCCCGGGCCTAGGTCTTACCATAAGACCTACGGTAATAGCTACTTCCTTATAGGGAAATTCGCTAATAAAAAAATTTAGTAAAACTTACCATTGCATTTGATTGAACTTAACATTCTTTATAGAATGTTCCTCATAATTCTAACTTTTCATCTACCCTATTCATACACTTGTGAATAACATGACATTGTGAATTCATTGCATGTTATTAACTTATTAGGTAGGTAATTAATTGCTTTAAGTTTTCAGGTAAAGGAGTGATAGTAGGCTTAGTATTAACTCCCTTGATACTTACTTGATACTTGATACTTGTCTTCTTTATCTTTGACCGTGGTTACGGATTGATAGCGTCAAATTTTTAATACTATACAATAGAAACATATATTTACAACATAAATACTAATACTAAGGCTGTGGCGGAAATTTCAACCAGGCATGAGAGGTTCCTCTAACAACTCTTGCACACTATAGAGGGGCCTTTGCAAGAGAGAATTGCTCATTGTGGCTTTAAAAGCTTTCATTTCTAAGTTCCTGACTCTTGCGGGCAGGGTGTTAAAAATCTTTATAGCAGAGTGCGGGTAGCTCTTTTGTGTTAGGCTTAGACGGCAGCGAGGCATGTCCAAGTCATGAGCTCTGCGTGTTCCGTGGTTGTGATGGCTACTTCTGCTATTAAAGCTGGTCAGGTTCTCTTTTAGCAGTAATAGGCTGTTCAGGACATACTGGCTAGCAACGGTGAGGATACCCAATTCTTTAAAAAGGGGTCGGCAGTGTTCTCTTGGGCCGGAGGATGTTATTACTCTCAAGGCTTTCTTTTGCAGCAACAGTATATCCTGGGCAGAAGGAGATTGGCCCCAGAGTACTATTCCATACAGTATATGGCTATGGAACAAGGAATGGTAGATGGTAATCAAGTAGTTTTTAGTGATAACCTCTCTAAGCTTCCTGAGAAGGTAGAGTACTCTAGACAACTTGACGCAAACCTTGTCTGTGTGTATGTTCCAGCCAACAATCCAGAATCCTAATAGCTTTACAGCCTCGTCCTGCTCTATCCTCGATCGCAGAGTGCAGATTAGGGATTGGGTTTTCGCCTCATTAATTTTGAAGCGGTTTGTTATGAACCAATCCTTAGCCATTTCCAGCAGGTTGTCTCCCTCTGCCCTCAATTGTTCAATGTTCTTCCCCCTATTGAACAAGGTGGTGTCGTCAGCAAACAATAAGGTTTGTCCATTTGGGTCCAGATCGTTGATCATTATGCTGAACAACAGGGGTCCGACCACCGATCCTTGAGGCACCCCGTGCGGGATAATCTGCACACTAGAAGAAGTTCCATTTAAAGACACAAGCTGCTTTCGGTCTGCCAAGTAGCTACTTAGGGTGTTCAAAACTGTGCCTCCGATACCATACCTCTTAAGCTTGGCCAACAGTATGTCGTGTGAGACTACATCGAAGGCCTTGCTCAGGTCGCAGAGCCTCAAAAGAACCGACTCGTTTTTCTCGAAAGCATCTGTAATGGCACTTACAAGATTCAAGAGAGCAGAAGATGTTGAGCGCCCACTCCTGAAACCATGCTGAGCATTTGAAAATAGTTGGTTGCTTTCAAAATATGCTGACAATTGCCTCTTCATTATGGTCTCCAGCACCTTGGAAAAGACTGGCAGGATAGAGATGGGTCTGTAATTTGCTGGGTCGGAAGGATCACCCTTCTTGTAAATGGGAATAGTCCTGGCAATCTTAAGGCTATCCGGAAAGATTCCCTTAGTCAGACAGAGGTTTATAAGCTTTGTCAGTGGCAAGATTATCATATCAACTGTGCCCTTTAAAATAGAGCATGACAAACCATTGATGTCCTGACTGTCAGAGTCCCTAAAACCTTTCACTAACCCTAGGATATAGTTTTCACTCACCTCAGTCCAAGTTGTTAGTTTGTTATTTCCTGCGATGTTTATTGGTACATCCACTGTCCCAGTCCCTCTTTGCTTCGGGGTAGGGAGGTTAGACACGATGTCATCCGCTACCTTCACAAAAAAAATCATTAAAAATATCAGGGGACACTGTTACCTTGGGTGCAGGGGTGGATTTTCTGCACTCATTGACCAGCTCCCATGCTGCTTTGCAAGTGTTGGGAGCAGCAGCTATCTTATTAACATTGCTGGATTGGTTCGCTATCTTAACTCTAGAACTATAAAAACTTTTTATTCTCTTGTAAAGCAAGAAGTACCTCTCTTTAGAGTTAGAGTCTAGGGCAAGTTTGTAGTGGTCATGAGCAAAGGTCATAAAGGATCGCAGTCTTTTCAGATCAGGGGTGTACCAGGATTTGTCCCTTATCACAGGTTTTACTGTATTTGACTTACATTTGAATGACTTAATAGGATAGACTATATCAAATTTTTCCTGAAACAGTGTAGAGAAGTTATGGAAACCTAAGATTGGATCTGACACTGACTTAAAGCTGTCCCAATTTACGTTTGAAAGTTCGTTTCTAAGCAAAGGCAAATTATCTTTATCTACAGATCTCTTATGTACTACGTAGCTATCAGAAACACTATTGGATGTTACCTGGTCTGTCTTTACCTTAAGGATTACTGCGCAGTCGTGGTCCGCCACCGCCGATTCAGTCACCTTCACATCATAGTCCCAGGTATTGAAGTTCGTAGCTGTCACATCCAGACAAGCTGAAGCTCGTGTGGGAAGCCTTGTTGTGATGTAGAGCCCGTAGCCCCGTAGCAGATTTACAAAAATTGTCTCCTCTCTGGAAGTACGCTCGAGATGCACGTTGAAGTCACCACTGATCACTAGTTTTTTATGTCCAAGCCCACTGAGGAAGTCCAAACAGAGTTCAAGCTGAAGTAGAAAGTTGTCAAAAGCCCCGTCTGGGGACCTGTATATGCACACTAAAATCGTGGAGATGTCAATAATCTCAACCGCAGTTGCTTCAAAGATTAATTCAACACAAAAGGCCTCTAGGTTGATTTCTTTGTATTTGTACGAGGGAGCTGCATATATAGCAACACCACCATTTTTACGATTAGTGCGGCAAAAAAAATTGCCTACACAATTCTCCTGCAATGCCTGATTTGGTTAAGTTTGCTTAAGTCTAACTGCCTAAGCTTTTTTCTGAACTAACATTGTCTCATCATCACAGGTGTCAGATATCCACGTCAGTATTTTTCGAGAAATTGACAGGATAAATGAACTAGAAGAATTTTGTAAACTGACCATATCTACCATCAGACCGACTGTGGTGCTTGCGACAGGTTTGTAAGCAATATTGATTTATTTAATTAGTAAAGAATTAAGGTTGTGCAATAACAATAACTGTGCCCATACGTCAGTAGGTTTCCAATAACATGTTAAAAATGCTATGCTATATTTCATAATTACCGGTACCGGTAAGTCAAAGATACTTTTTGTAAGTTCTTGGATGTTGTCAAATACGAGCCTAGGCAAAAGAATTAAATATTGACTGACTGCAGTGCTGCGGTTAGCATGTATTGTGGCGACCATGAGTGTAGTTTTGGCGCACACCGCTGCAGGTCAAGCACTATTGAGCGTTGCCATGACAAGTTGGTAGTTTGAGGCAGGGTTGCCAACTTCTGGAGAATTCCCCGGAATCCGGGGAGCAGGAGTTTGTTATTATCTTTCCGTGTTTTAAAAAATTTCTGGGAATTAAAAAAAAGGATTTTTTGTTAAAATTACGAGATTTCAGAATTTTGTACTTTATCCATGTTGAATAGTGGGCCTGCTACGTTGGTGGGATTTTGTTTGCAAGGGCGGTAGTGCTGATAGCAGGTACGGCGAGACAACGATGGCAGGGATCGACGAACACTGAGCTTGCTCTAGCGGCACATCTCCAAGGAACCTTCCTGTAACAGTCTTTTATTCTATTTGCCTATGATACGAGTAATGAGTCAACTATGGATTTAATGTTTGTATTTAAAGCCAATCCCGTTGTGACATTTTTTTATACCAAATCATCTTTCTAGCACTACAGGCATATGCAATATTGCAGTTGATTTTGAATTCTTGAAAATTATATGGGTTGAGTATTATCATAGATAAAACATACTCCCTTAGTAGATTTCTCATCCTTATGGAACAGCTGAAGACAATTTTATTGTTAGTTCTGTACGGTTTATGTAGAGGTCGTGTTTTGTTTACAATTTGTTTCCCGTTATTACAGCCATTTAAAACCTCGTTTAACCAAATAATACGATCTAAACATAAACAATAACTTGTCCCCTAGTTATATAACCAAACAGTAAAGCACAAATCAAGAAATTAACCCTAAAATAATAGAAACAAAGTTTTGTCGACACTAGCGCCTTTGTGTCACGTACATGAACTAAACAAGAAAAACGTGCTTCAAAATTTACAATGGGATGAGAAGTCTACTTGTGTTGGTTAGTCTATGGTATTATTGAAAGACATGGCAATATATATTTAATCCTAACACTCTCAAGTTAATGGCATGCGTGCCCTAATGAATAATAGTGCCTTAGATTTATTTATTTAAGGTTTTATTTATTTATTTCCAATAGATTTTCCAATTGCAGTAATGCATACATTGGTAGGGCCTAACAGTCTAATAGCAGAAGACTAGTTGGTTTGAATCAAGAACATAAACAGTGAAAATACAAATTAAACATAATGTAATGTTTAATATATTGCAACCTTATAACTAACTTGGATTATTTATTACTCGTTGTGTATGTTTTCTGTTAGTTATAATAAACTGTTTTGATTATTGTGTTCGATCCATATATATCTAAAAGACTAAATTATTGTCCTAGGTGATCTAACCGATGCTAAGAGCGTAGATACTTTGGGATCCAGACAGTACGAAGATGAGTGGAAGCTGTACAAGAATGCTCTCGATAGATGTGAGGTTACCAAAAAGACAGTTTGGCTTGACGTACGAGGGAACCATGGTATTTATCATATTACTCACATTTACTATAGTTTTGTATTTTTTGAGTACCGTACCTTTAGACATTTTACACTGTTGTAAAACTAAGCAAACGTGTTAAATACAAAGCCGAATATAACTAAATATCTTGAATTCTTGTAAAAAAATTGGTAGGGTACCAAACGCTTACATTTACTAAATGTTCTTTTTCCAGTAAAACTGTGCAATTGTCTGAGTGGCTTTCCTCTGCTAAAGCACAGAAAACATACTACTATAACCCAGAATGCCAACCGCGTGGTAAAAAGCATTAAGTGTTTTGAGAGAGCTTTGCCTGTCAATCGTAGGCAGCGCCACCAGCGTTGCTATGCTGAGTGCATGGCAACGCTGGTGGCGCTGCCTACGATTGACAGGTTGCTAAAACTGCCCTGACTGAACTAGTTGCTAAAAAGATAATTGTACTTATTCATGATTTTGGAAATTAAAGTGCCAACTAGTTTTCTCCTTTGCTACAGACAACTTTAATGTTCCTGGGCCGTCCTCGAAGGAGAACTATTTCCGCAACTACTCTATCCAAGGCAGACAGAATCCTCGGTCCTATTTGTACACTGTCCGCAACCCTAATGGGAGGGTATGTATTCTTATAAGGCATAATTTACGAAAGTAAAACTATTTTGAATACTGAACTAATCATCCAACTTGGGCCTATAAATATATACGAGCTGTAGCCGATGTTTTGTTCTAGTAGAAAATAGGCCTAGTTTGAAAGAGCTACCCACATAGTATGCTAATCTCGAAATTCTATAATCTTTATAATTTTTATAATACATCAGACGTATAAAAGATGCTTTAGTTTACAGTTCTACACAACTTGACAGAATTGCTATGAAGTTTTAAAAAATCTGTGGATGCACAGTTGAAAGTTGGTGTCAGTAAGAGTTGAATAGGCCTAGTCATAATTGTGGTTTTCATTCAAATAACTATTGAGATTTTCAAAACAAATGCATTAAAAAATATATTTTGCAGGTGATATCTTTCATCGCTCTGGATGCATGTCTGGAGCCTGGACCTAAGAGGCCGTTTAATTTCTTTGGCCTGTTGAACCAGAGAGAAAGGGAGCATGTCAGTGGCCTCATGGCCGAGGCGGCCAGTCTCAACAGTAGCCACAGTGTTTGGTTCGGCCACTATCCTACCTCTTGCATACTGTCTGCAGACAAATCTGTAAGTATGTAAGCGTGAGTTGGAAAAAATGGTTGGATAGCAGGTTTAAATGAATGGTAAAGAGTCCAATCTGGAACAAGAAATAATAAACTAAAAAAAAAACAGCATATTTTACTATCAGTGACAGTAGCAGAGAGTAGTAGAACTACCTCATTATACCATTCTTCTGAAGGAAAAATACCTTTCTTCTTCTCTTTGGGGTGAAATATCAAATTGTACTGTCGACAGTGTTGGATTTAGGTTACTTGCCAAATTTAGTTCTAGGCCAAATCAACACAAGCGACCTTATTTGGAGTTTCACGGCAAAATCATGAACATCTTAACTTTAAATGTAACATTTGGATCCAACCAAGTTGTTAACTGACCCAGTGGTTCTCTTAGCAGTTTTATGGGTATTTTAACCTTTTTTGTAAAAAACTTTAACTTGAGGCTAAAATTAATCAAATAAAAAATACAAATTCATCTCATGCTGATTTTGTTCTTGATCAACATAAGCATTTGGATTTTAAAACTTCTATTCTTTCAATACACTAAAATATATGAACCAATCCTGGTACGTCCTTTTTACTTTCTCCTTCTAACATAGTATATTGATATTAGGTTTTATTTTAAATTTTTTTGTCTGAGTTTGCGTGTTGCTAGATATCTTTGTTTTTGGTCCTACTGAACTTTAAAAAATGGTTTTTGAAATGATGTCTGTCTACGTGTGTACTATCAAAATCGTTTGAGCCATTTTTGTGAATGTTTGATTTTCTTGAGTTTTTATTACATCTCATGGAAAAATTGCCATAAAAAAATTTAAAGACTTGAAATCTGAAATTTCTTTGGGTATGTAGGTACAACCCCAAAGCAATTCTAGGTCTTTAATTACTTCCATCGCTTGACGCTTACCAAACGTAAGGGTAGTTGACAATTTGCTGATATTGTGTATTTAACTCTGTAAGTATTACATTACTGACCACTGTTATGTGTAAGGCTAGAGAACTGATAGCCAGTGAGACAGGCAGCATGGCGTATCTATGTGGTCATCTTCACACCCTGGGCGGTCTGATGCCAGCAATGTACACGAGGCAACAAGCTGGCTTCCTAGAGCTGGAGCTGGGGGACTGGAAGAATAGTCGGGTGTAAGTGTTTCACCTTTTTATTTCGGGTCCATGACAAATTGTTATTAAAAAAACTTATTCTCATTTTACATGTATGACACTGTTAGAAATATAGTACATATTCCAGCACTATTTGATTCACTTACACTTGTGTTATAAACATTTACATAGGCCTATGTGTAAAATATGATAGCAATTATTGATTTAGACCAGTAACATCAGTCATCGTCTCAGGCCCAATTAGAGCAATGTTTAGCATCTCAGACTTTTGGTGTGAGAGGGACTGGCCCGATTCCTGGCATATTCACTAAACATTGAAGGGATTTGGATCACTTTGGCACCTTCACTCAAAAGTGTTTCTCATTTTCATCAATGCCACTGTCATAGGCACAAAAAAATTGAGTGTAAATTGGAGTGAAATGCCTTGTGTAGCTTTGTTACTGCCTAAGATCAGCTGTTTAAATAGGATAATTTATTGTGGTATGAGTAGCCTCCGGATTGTGAATAACAACATGATAGTGGTTTAAATGCCTTATTCTGGCAATCCAATTGTTGTATTCCACAACTAGTAGGTTGAAACTAGTTATGGAATTCAACACTTGGATTGCTAGAATAATCTAAACCACTATTATTAGGATAATTTATCAAAAGCCTAATGAATAAGGACATCTAAGTACAATTGGAAGCTTCAAAAAGGTGCTGAATCTTCTCAAGATTAAACCAATACCAATTGGTTGGTTCATACAGTTTCAGGTGTTTATATCATGCAGCCAGCCTATTTTGATGCTTTACCAACACAGCCTACATTTCTAGGTATCGTTTAGCAGCCATTGATCATGGTACATTCAGCTTCGTGGATGTGCACCATCACGACTGGCCTTTGGTGCTGGTTACCAATCCTAAACACGCTCTGTTTCACATACCAGGACGAGAGAGTCAACAACTAGTGAATCAAATCAGGTCTGTCTATTGTATGTTTGATTAGACATCCCATTCCGATCTAGTCAGCTGTCAGCAAAGTTTCAGGATGAAGTTTAATGTTGTTGAACTGTGCCACGGCATAGTATGCTGATGTAAATAACTTCTTTCTGTTGAGAATGTCAAGCAAAACCGAATGGCCAAGATTGTAAATAACAGCTCCTCGTTATGTCACATTGACCATCATCGTTTAAAAAGATTATGAAATATAAATATGGACTTTGGCACACTTTGTCAATGGATCGTTGAACCATGTACTTTATAAATAAAATTATTCCGTGTGTGGTTGTCTTAACTGGTTAAATATTCAGTTATGTAGTAATCTAAAATGTGTTCCTTTTCTAGAGGCTTTAAATCTATTCCAAACAGATTACCACCTAAAAGAGATAATCTGCTGCATCTGAATCCTAACAAAGTATGTTTTACAGAATTTTAGCATTTTCAACAGCAGAAATCACAGAAGTACGTGTGAAGATTGACGATTCCGCTTGGTGGAAATGCTCACACGTGAAAGGTCCACTTTATGTGACTCCGTGGGACCCAGAGCTCTACTATCATGGTCTTCATCACATATATGTAAGCCAACTGACCCAGTCAATTAGTTTACATGTAAGGGTGTCATATATACCCTCCATCTTCTCCTTTCCCTGTACAGTTTATCTTTCTCCGCTATATTTCACTACTTACTTCTTCACATCCCTCTTCAGTAATTACCAGACAGCTTTATACCAACCTTGTATAGGCTTTGTTGGTGGTTGTAGGCAGGTATTAAACATGTACCTATCTAGGTCAGAAGTCCCTCGCTCTATCTACCGTACCAGCTGTGAACTAAAATTTTTGCTGGGTTGGTAATATGATTTTTTAATTATTCCTCAAAGTAATCAGACAGGACATTTGTATCGTACATTGTACATATGGGAGAGAATTTTTAGGAAAATGAATTTGATGGTGATAGAGGGAAGGAGACCGAAATGAAAACTTAGAAGATGATTGGTAGATGAGGTGAATAGGAAATCCACATACTTCAACATCATTTATGTACTAAAACATCACCTTAATTTTATTACACTTGAACAATTTTCTTATGACTTTTAGCTGCACTCTCTTCCGTTTGCAGAAAAAAATTCTCAAATCACACTTTCCAAAAGGATTACTAATGGTAGCCATTTTTACGTAGCTGTGTAGTACAATATCTGACTAAAAGGTTGAGGTTGACAATGGCAATATGTGTTGTGCAAGCGTTGGCTGTTGTCTACCATGCAAGCCGGTTTTCTGCCTGTAGAAAACTTCCTGTTGAAAGTTTTTCTCAACGGTCATTTTATTATTGTTTGTTTCAAAAAGGAATACCTTTTATTTGGGGCGATTGTTTGATGCAAATAACACATTACAGAAATAATTTGAATGCCTTTTACAGCAATCATTTCTTGAAAAAGTTTGATTTTTGTATCTTATTTTGTTTTCCTGGACCAGTAACAACGACCAAAACAAAAATCCTGCTTACCAGGTCAAGAAAAACCCTCATTTTTCTCGCTTTTTTGTAATGAAAATTCCGTTTTATCCTGCATGAATTTTCCATTCAAAGTGATATTTGAGATGTGTTATGTCTAAATAGCTCAATGCTGTGCTAGAATAATTTAATCAGTTGGGGTTAGTTTTAATCTGGAAAGCGGTGTAAAAAAAGAAGATCAATCGTCAGAGCTGAAAATTCTGTTTCATTTGCATCCCTTTTTAATCCCTCTTATGATCTAAAAATCCTGTTTCCAGGATAAGAGTCCCGCATATGGAAACACTGCCCACGCCATTTAGAAAATAAGTTTTGTTCCATCAACAACTATATACCAATCATATTTTATAACCTCTTGATTGATTTTTTCTTCCAAGGTTATCTTGAACAATTTTCTGTCAATAGGTTGAAGTTCAAGATGGATTGGGAAGATTAAAAAATGTAAAACAGCCATTTTCGCTGGATGGAACAGAAGTAGATTTTGACATTTGGCCACGGATTTTACTTATGTCAAATATCACCACTGTGGTAAGAAGCAAATTTAAATTGTTCACTGGCTTTATAGAAGTTATGTTTATTTTCTATGAATTTTATTAAAGTCTAGGATATTTTTTAGGCTACTAAATTTGAAGTCCCGTAGCTCTTTCCGTGAATATTATGCGTTTTTTCTAAGGCAACTCAGATAGGACAATGAAATATTTTTTTAGATAGGTAGTTAGTTAGTTACATATCTGATTTGTTATGTTTGTTTGATAGAAAAACAAATTGACCTCAAACAAAATAGGTATACCATAGGCTATTTTTCTGTTTTATAAAGTAGGTAGTAGAGTATAGATACTGTAGGAAGAAAATACCCCCGCCACAGCAAACCTGCAGACTAAGCGAATTTCCATTTGACTGATTGGATTTACACTGAAATGTCTACTTAAAAATATAACATTTATTCCCGATTTAAATAGAATTAGTTTTAACAAGTACTTAGGTTTGCTGCATCAGGGAGGGTAAAACTGTTTTTTTTTTGTAAAATGTTAATAGTTAGTAAGAAATAAAAACATTTTCCAAATTTGATCAAAATATGTTCATAAACAAGCAAACTACAACAGTTTACTTATTCTCCATAAGAATAACATGGGAATTTTAAATTTACAATTTTTTGGAATTTTCTCTGTAACCATTAGGCCCATAATAACGCTTCAATATACTAAATTATTTGTTGTTTTAAGCTCTACAAAATGGTTTGGAAAGAAATTGCTAAATTTTATGTTTTTTGGGTCAAAAATGGGAAAAACCTATTTTTACCCCATAAAACCCCCCGTAAACCCCCGTTCCCATGGTCCGATCATGCTGGATCGCGAACTCGTTTGAATAAACGTAGGTTTACACGTTTGTACCAAATTTCATCAAAATCGGATCATTTTTGCTCGAGTTATCGTGCTAACGGACACATATATATATATCTTCTAATATATAAAATTCTCGTGTCACAGTGTTTGTCTGCAAACTCCTCCGGAACGACTTCACCGATCGTTATGAAATTTGGTGTGTAAATTCTGTAGGTATGCGAATCGGACGTAAACTATTTCCCGTTTCGAAATTCTTAAAAGGGCTCCGCCCCAGTGGCTCTGGAGTTTCCCATGTTATTCTTATGAGAAATGGAATTAATGAATCTTAACAGCTGTTTCAATTAAACAAGTTGGTTCTGTGCTATGATGTTCAATAGCATTAAAGTTACAAGGATTACCAACAGGGTGCAGCACTATTATTTCTTTTACATTTATGACAACAGCTAATTTGCAACCAAAAGGTGAGTGAGCGTAGCGAACGAACTTCAACCTGGAGGCGAGTTAGCGTAGCGAACGAGCTAACCTGAAGGCAAGTGAGCGCAGCGAACGAGCTCCAACCTAAAGGTGAGTGAGCGTAGCGAACGAGCTCCAACCCAAAGGTGAGTGAGCGTAGCGAACGAACTTCAACCAGGACGTGATTGAGCGATGCGAACGAGATCATCTTGAAAATTAAACGTAACGGTACTTTCTTTCCATCGGTCTGTCATAGGGGAAACCTATAACTTAGGCGATACGAAGTTCGCCGGGTCAGCTAGTATATATATATATATATAAATATATAAATATGAAAAATAGAAAAATAGGGCTACTATATATAAATAAAGATTAAACATTAATAAACTTAGTACCCAAGTAAAATTATTTATTAAAATATTTACTGACTATAGTTTCGGCTCTAAGGCCATTTTCAAAGACTTTTGATATGAATTTGAACGGATGGTGTTTTTGGCCTCTAGGGACCTCAAAAAAAAAAAAAATCGGTCCCGCGTCCAGGTCTTACCATGAGTACTACGGTAATAGCTTATTCCCTATATGGGAAATTCGCTAAAATAGGTAATCTTAAACATATGTAAAATATATTAATTTTACTACAAACAAATTTGAAACTTTACGTGATCCAGCAAAACAGTTGCCAGAAGCATTTTAATGTAGTTAGCCTAACATATAAAGAACCAAACACAAGTGTGCTCAATTAAATTTTCATTTGTATATATCATCCTCCAACTCCACTTAGTTTTCTAATTTAAAAACTTTTTTTACAAAAAATTACATTGTTTTGCATATTTTTTGGGTGTATGGATTACTTCGGATTAAAAATTGTCACGTAAATTTACACGATATGTATTGACCCTTTTAGAAAGTTTATTTGAAATGACACAAACAACCATGACCAAACATGCATTACACATTTAATTATTCTCTTGTTTCCAGCTACAAACATTGTTTGGTCTCTCTATCCTGGGTTGTGTGGTTCCTCTCAGTCTTCTCAGGCTGTTGATGTCAAGAGTTAGAGGTGAGTAAGTATGTTAGATTTATACAACACCAACACATCAGGTGCATATTTTAAGATGAAGATGAGTGGTGGATGATTGAAATAACAGCTTTCTTCTTCTTGTAATACAGCACTTTTTCATTCATTCATGGCAAAATGGCTTTTTCATCTATTATGGCATTGGATTACTGTGTTGGATTCTCATTTGCCAACTGTATATCTTGACTACAGACTGCTGCCATGAATGCAATAGAGAATTGTAATAATATTGACCACTTTCTCTTTACAGGGGGTCACAGGCTTGTGCCTACAACCAGTGTCTCCCTGATCAGGAGATGGTACAAGAGGTGGTGGATTCTTGCCAACCTAGACTCCTTCTACTACCCTCTGGTTCTATATCCTGTTTACACTACTTTTGGTGAGTCTGTCAGAGCTTAAGATGATATTCCATGTTTCTATCAACACATTTACTATCAGGTCTCACAGAGTAATGTAGCGGCTGGTAGGCAACGTGTTAATGTTGGAACTAGTTTGTCTGTTCCACCTGTTGACCTTCATAAGGGTATTCATAAGCTATATAGCCCTGGAACCATTTTACACATTCCTTTACGCTAAACCTACAGAGTCAAGCCATTATAACTTAGCTAATACCATTGGGGATAGACGGGATTTTAATTTGCGACCTCGGAGACCAAAGCCCCAAGCTCTATCAGTATGCCAGCTTCCCACAAAGCCTGGTGGATTATCGGTGCTTGGTAGTCCAAACTCGTAAATATCTATTGATAGATATTCCCTGTTCAATGAATATTTATAAAAACTTATACAAGCTGTGATGAGCTTCGTAACTTTACTTGCATTTATGAGCACTTTGATGGAAGTTTTACGGTTGCTGGTTTGTTGCTCAACAGGTCCGTGGGCAGTTGGGGAAGTGATAGAGAACCACATTGGAGTTATATTCGCCTGGGGCACTTTTGTAAACGGAGCTTACCTTCCTGGTTCATTTACTTACGGCTACGGATTCTTCCAGGTAAGTATTTTTTTATTATTTTGGATTTGAGTAAAATATGTTTACATTTAAGCCTCGGACAAAAATCGGCTAAGATCAAAAATCGTTATCTCAGCCAAGCAAATAACAGTAAACAAATAATGAAATAACTGTAGCCTACCACCTGGTTTATTCACCTAGCACAAATTTTCAGTCTCAACTTTTGATATTCTATTGAATCAAGTGAAGTCGTAGTGATTAATTAATTATTTAAGTTGGTAATTATTAAAATAGACACATTTTTCATAAGAAAAATCTAAAATATCAAAAATCAAAACTTTATGTTTTCATTATTATTTTTAATACACTTTCCTTTCCATTATTACTTTTTATTTTGTTGACTAAAATGTTTTTTATTACAGATGGTCACTTTCCAGTTTCCACTCACCATGGTGTTGGCCTACAAACTTGATAAGAGGTTAGCAATTAAAATTATAAGTCTTATAAATACTTCTGTTTTGTTTAACCTTTAAATTAATTTATCACCCATTAAAATACCCACTTGTTCTACCCTTTTAAAAGTTGTGGAGGCTAAACTACCTCAAAATATAAATCAAGTTCTGAAGATAAAATGAATAGATGTAAAACTTATATCTTTAGTAAAGAAAAATCTGCTATAAAAGTGATCAATGTTTGAATGATATTTATTTGGCCATCAAACATCCTTATTTTACATTAATAATATTAGAATGAAAAGCCTTTATCATATAATACTTGAGTTTAAACGTTACGTAACAGAAACTCGTAAGATTTTCAATACAATTTAAACCTTTGCCACAGATTGAACCCTCCAAGTCCAACGTATGGCAAGATCCGTTCACTACTGTGCCATTGGTGGACCAATCTTCCGTTCTACATTATCTTGTTCCTCCAACTTCTCTTCCTCTATTTCTTCTGGCTCTCGTATGGTTCCTTGGCAGTTCTTCTCGGACCATTCCGTTCTTGGCCGATCCTCAACACTTGGCTGTTCTGGAACAGGTTACATTCAATTCCTCTACAAAGGATAAAGTGAGTTTTAACATAGTTTCTGTAAGAGTCTTTAAATTTGTTTGGATCAAATCACTTTATTGTCGTAAAATATCAACGTTTAAAGCACAATTGAATTGGATAGAGTTTTTTTAAGATGCCATACTGCGACAACTTCCAATCATTAAAATCAGTTTTAGCTCCTTCCTTGTGAGCCAGGATTGAAGATTGAACAATATTCAGATATCAATAAATAAAGGCTGCTCCGAAGAAATAACCTTTTGTTTGCTACACCAAATTTAGTTATTAGTTATATTAGTTATTTTAAGTCTTCCTTTTTTGAACAATTTCCGGATCAAACATTTTTTGCAAAGAGTGAGAAATCATATTTGAAGTAGATTTTATGAATTGTTTAGACAAATTTTACTAGGCTCTCATATAACTATATCATACGGATATAAAAATGTCTTGAGTTGATTATAAGAATTACTAAAACATTGATCTTATACTCACCCATGTATTTTCAAATGATAATGATAGTTTATTTTGAATATTAACTGTTGAATTTGACACCAGAAGTATCACACCGTTACCATCACTTCAATTATTTATAGAGTTTTTCTTTTTGGTTGCAGGGAAACCGCAAATATTTTTGAAGAAGTAAACAAAATGTCTTCTAGTTCCAAGAATTCCCACTGCATTTAGAAATACATTTATATTTTGATTTAATTTTTGTATAGATAAATCTTATATTTTTCACAATGCTGTATATTGGTTATAAGATCCACACATAATAAAAATTCTTTTGTAATGTACTGTTATACATTTTATGATTTGTGATTTATAGATGGCTGTAACTTTAAGATAGTTATAAGGTTACTTATGTTTGATTTTAAAATCAAGTTTTAGTTTATAGGCGGAGTAAAATTTGGTAATAGTTTTAATGTGTATAGACCATATTTTTAACTTATGCATACTTGTGGAAACGATTTTATATATGTTTTACATTATACTATTTATATTGTACATTTTAAATCTTAATTTATTCTTACATTGGTCATGGCCATTTCTTACATTAAATGTTTTGTGATATTTTTAAAGTTTATATTATGTTGAATGTTTAAAATATTTTTAATGAGCCGTATTAATAAAAAGAAGGATATGCTCAAAAGGAAAAGGTATGAAGCAAAAGCATTTGCTTCTAGTAAAAGGTAAAAGTAAAAGCATATCCTTCAAACCGTATTAATAATGATTACCTTTTACTTCCGAGCAAATCCTTCTGCTCGGAAGTAAATGGTTCTATAGGAACATCACATGTTACACGTATGATCCTGTCTATTTTTGTCTACTGATACCCCTCGAAGGCATAACTGTGCCAACTCCGTGTAATGGTTTTGCATCCGGCTTTGAATTTAATCATAACAAACTAAATTATAAAATCTAGAGTGTGTGGGCCGGAATTTTACCCCGGATTTTGGGACCCCATAATCTTAACCCCTTTCTAGACATAGAATTTGGTTGATGATAATAGTTAGTCGGGTACATAATAAATTTGTTTATAGAAATCATCATATATGCTTTGTAGATAGCATGCAGTACTGTATAACCACAGGAACCCTCACCACAGCTGCAGACTAAATAAATTTCCTTTTCCCTGGCTGGATTTCTTCTAAAATATTCCCTGAAAATTGTCAGATTTATTTCCTATTTAAATAATATTAATTTTAATGAGTACCTAGGTTTGCTGATTCAAGGAAGGTATTGAGGTGTGTTTTTATTGAAATGTTGATAGCTTAGTAGGAGGTAAACAAAATACTCCCGTTACAGCAAACCTGCAGACTAAGTAAATTTCCATTTGCCTGATTGGATGTACACTAAAATGTCTCCAATATCACATTCATTCCCTATTTAAATAGCTTTAGTTTAACTGAGTACTTAGGTTAACTGCTACAGGGAGGGTAAAAAGGTGTTATTTTTTTTGTAAAATGTAATAGTTAAGTATGAAATTAATGCAAATTTGATCAAAAAATGCTCATAAACAAGAAAACTACAACAGTTTAAAATTTCTCCATTAAAATAACATGGAAATTTTAAATTTACAATTTTTTTGAATTTTCTCCTTAGCCATTAGACGCATAATATCGCTTCGATATACTAAATTAATAGTTTTTTTAAACTCTACAAAATGGCTTGGAAAGAAGTTTTTAAATTCTATGTTTTTAGGTTAAAAAATGTTAAAATCCAATTAGGCCTACCCCATAAAACCGCCCATAAACCCCCGTTTCCATATCCTATTATGCTGATTCACGAATACCTTAGAATAAACGTAGGATTACACGTTTGCACCAAATTTAATCAAAATCGGATCACCTTTGCTCGAGTTATCGTGCTAACGGGCACACATATATATGAATTTGAACGGAGGAGGTTTTTGGCCTCTGGGGACCTGAAAACGGAAAAGTAAATGGGTCATAAGTCTAGGTCTTACCATGAGACCTACGGAATAGCTTTTTCCCTATTTAGGAAATTCGCTAAAATTTAGCACCACTCTGTAAAACCACCACCCACCTTTTACTTAAACGTATAATCTGCTACTGATCAGATGCATCATTTTTGAAGGATTTAATTCAAAGGAAAAGTAAATGGTCAGTTTTATTAATAACCATTTACTTAAGTCATGAGCAAAACCTCAACTTTCTATAGATTACCTTTTCCTTTTTAAGTAAAAGGTTTTGCTTGAGTTTTTATTAATACAGATAGAAGGATTTGCTCGAATTTTCGCAAGTAAAAGGTTTACCTCTTCTTTATTAATACGGCTCAATATCTGTTATTTATCTTCAAAAACATTTACATTTGCCACAAATAAATAACCTTTTTATCCAAAAATTTTTTTGTTTAGCTATTTTTACATGGAAAGATATGTGTCTAAATGACTGGTCAATTAATATGACGTAATTCTGGTGCAAAGTATTATTTCTAGTATATTTACACTACAAAAAATGCAATCGTTTTATTATATTACATATTTTTATAAAAAATAAAAACAAGGAGTTGCTATATTTTCATCAATTAGAACTCAACATATTGTTTGATAGATCATAAAAAATACAGTATCCGTTTTGGTAGAATGTATCATAAGTGTTGTTTAGATACTTTTTGACATAAGAATATTTGTATTTATATCCATCCTTAATTTTATTATATTTATTTACCACTCCCAAAAATATCTGGTATTAAAAAATAGATTGTTTACAGTTTCTTTGATAGTGAATGCTTCTGCAAATGTAGTCCTTGCCGAATTTAGTTCTAGTTTACTCTCATTCACACATTCATGTCTTCAAACTGCATACTATAATTAATTGATGAAGTTTTTTAATACAAAAATAATAAAGATTTAATAGGAACTGTTTGTTAAATTTAAAATTAACTTGTGGAAGAAACCTAACCTTATTTAGAAGTAGACAGCAATCGATTATTTCCTAGCGGAAGCAATCAACAAAATGCTCTTGACTAAAACATCTACAATTAAGGACTACTTAGCTAAGCTATTAAGATGTGAAATTATTTTTGTCTTAGGTGCAAGTATGTCTAAAGCTTAATCAATAGAATGTGTGAATTTTGTTATCAGTTTTTCCCTATGGGATACATATTTTATGTGATATATTCTTTGTTTTCTGACATTAGTTCAAAATTGAAATACTAGAATCTAGTGAAGTGATCAGTTCTTGTAGTACATAAATATGTACGTTTCGTGCCAATAAACGTACAGATTATCTGACCAAAGAAGGAAATTTATATTTGTAGTGAAAATATGTTTATTTATTCGTGTGTGTGAAAAAACGGAACAATGATTTTGTGATGAAGATTATTATTGTTAATTTATTTATTATACTCCTGTATTAGTTTTGTTTGTTAGCAGGATGAATTATTATTTTTAAGTAGAAACAATACCAAAAATTCCTTTAGGTTTTTAAGATGTTTTCCCTGTGACTAAAGTGTTCTTGTTAAACATAATCATTAGTTCCTTGAACTGTGTTTAGTTAGGTTAGTACCGTAGTTGTGTTGTGTGTTCAGAACTAATTTGAATAAAGAGAAAATTGGTTAAAAATCAATGTTTTCTTTTAATTAACTGTCCTTGGCTCCTTGAAATAATATGCCATATTTTTGCTTTTTTGCATTAATTTCTAGAAAGGAATTCATTTTTGATAACATTGATATCAACCAAGCCCCCCCCCTGGATAGTCGGCACTCAAACATTTAATATTAAACATGTGTGGACAACTTTTTAGTAGGTTACTCCAAATTATCAAAATTGAAACAAATATAAACCAATTCAATAATCATTCAAATACCTTTATGCTTAACAAAATAGTAGTGTTGTTCAAAGGTTTATTGCAGACATTTTCCATCACGAATGTAAAAAAACAATACACAACGTTTCGGGATCTGGAATCTGATCCCGTCCTCAGGTGAAAATAACTTAACTAACACATTACAACTAACAATACACAAACGCCCAACCTAAGTTGGAATACACTACTGGTACACTGGTAGTAGTAAAAAAATATGCACTGTATAGCAGTCAAGTCATACATTAACATTAACTCACCATCACCAACAATGAACTTCAAACAAAGAAAATAGTAGTACTTTGCTTTGTGAATGACTTTTGTTAACGTAAAATTACAGTAAGTTAATTTTAAGTCTTAAATAGTAACGGAAAGACAGTCTTCAATTTATTGTGACTTACGGTATTGTTTCTGGTGTATATTTTTGTAATTTGTTGGGGATAACACCATTTTATTGTACTTGGGTATATGACCCTTGTATAAAGTATGGTTTGATTTGACTACAGTTTAAAACAAATTGCGTCCAAATTCCAAATAAAGTAGATGTTGCAGAGCTTAGATTAAGAGCTCAAATCATTTGTTGATATTATTGTACAAGTTTTTAAGTTCATGAATAGCTAACAAACTAATGTTACTCTATTCAGAGAACAAATATCAGATGTGGTAACCCATTTTCAGTTAAGACTAAGCTAACAAATAAACCAATTTCTAGTGGGGAAAATAATGAACACAATTGAATCCAATAGTTTTAAAATATTTCTTTGCGAACTTGGTTCACAGAAATATTATGGATGTCATGATGTATTTTGTACATTTTGAATTGTTTTATGTTGATAGATTGTTTCATGTTGTAAATAGTTTGTTGGAACTTTGAATTATTTGAAAGCTTAAACAGCATTAGTATTAAAGCAACCATAAAACCAGGAATTCACAACATGGTTGCTAAAAATAAGCTTTTTGGAACTTTTCAGTATTTTTTGCATCCACAAACTCATTTGCTGACAAAATATGAGTTTTCCTTGTTTGATTACATCAGTCAATTTATTCCAGCACCAGTGCAACAGTGTTTAACAAGTTATCTATCCTCCAATCTAACCTATTGTCCTGACATGGTACATATGAGATCATGCAGTGAACAGCTGATAACTATGATGCGTGATTCATAGCAATTCTGTCACATATATAACCAGTATGTTTGCCCAGGTATCTCTCTTGTTTGTTGCAGCTTTCGATGGTCGTCCACTGTGTATGTGTTATTCTCCTGACGATCTATGTATCCAGTCTAATATGGGGAGCCAACGGAGAAGAGAGTGTGAGTGAATTTTTGATAGTTTTAGACAGTTGTAGTCTTATTTCGTGAGTTTATTTTGAAAAAAAAAATTGTTTTTAACCTACAAGTATAAAAGAGGATGTTGGTTTGTTTGTATATTTGTTTGGCAGTTCACTCAGACACCGATGGCCACGAAACTTGGTACATACATGTATAATTTCATGGAATAGGTTTATACACCATCGATTTTGTGATAACCTTCAGGGCTTAGCCCTGGGACCGTCTTAAAGGTATCCATGTCAGGGATTTTGAAAGAATTTTAGTTAGATTTGTTTACTAACAAAACACATGCAAGTAAAATAATATTGAAGATGCATCAGCTGTTACATTTGTTTTCATTTATATTTATTTATATAGTTTGTGTACTTTTCCCTGAGTTAACCTTTTGATTCTGCCCACGAATCCTAGAAAAATACCGGTATGGATCATAAACATAAACAAATGACGTTGTTGGCCCGAATCCTATACTAATAGCATTGAACATATGTTTTGGCAATTCCATTTAAGCAATGTTAAATATTGTTTATTTTCGGGCCAAAAACATCATTTGTTTATGTTTGTTTATGTTGTCTTTTCTAGTATTCATGATTCTGCCACACAGTTTGATGCAAATACACAAGAGATTTTAATTTAAAAATCGATAAGTACAATATTAAGGCTAGCCTGTATAATTATCATGGTAAGTGTGTGTGTGTGTGTAAGTGTAACTGTTTTTACAGTAGATTTTGTGGCCCACATATTCTCTTCTCAAGTATTCTTGCCTCGCTGCAACAACTAGTCAGTTACCAATTTACCTCAAGTTAGAGTAATCAGAATCAGACAAATCAGAAGGTGCTGTATCACACCTGAAGAAATTTTCGAAATGTTTAAGGTTTCATTTGAAAACTAATTGCCATATATCATTGGGTTATTGATTTTTGGTATTTAGACAAAAATAACTGCCTAATTACTTGGACTACCTAATTTCTTCGGTACCTGTAACTTATCCTTCTGCCATCGTATTTGAATATTTGACCATGGTTGTGGCACCTTTAAGGATCTTGATGTTTCACTGTTATTTACACCACTGTCCTATTACCAGCTACAATATTTTTTAGGGGCCGTACAATGTAGTCTTGGAAAGTGTCAAGGATTGCGCAGAAAAGGGTACTGGCGAGATCACAGTCACCGCCAAGGCAAGAACTGATGAGAGTGGGAAGATAGTTCACACGGGCTATCTCAAACTACCCTTCGGTTTAACAGACAAGCTTAAGGTAAATGGTTTAAAGTTAAACTAAAGCTATACTAAGATTTGATTTTTGTAATGAAGTGTACGATCATAGCAAAGAACATTTTTAAAGACAGCAAAACAATATACTGAATCTAGGTAGTGAGGGCTTGGGCTACAATTTTTAATGTGGTTGTGCTCTTCGCTCTTTATTTTGAATTGGGTTAGTTTATTTTGTTTTTCTAAAAAAGTAAGAATGAATATTTGATCACAGTACTAACAAGGGCTCAAATTGTGGCGAAATTGAGGGTAGAGGCATCCTGAAAAATCTCTTTTAATAAAAATGTGGATGTTTTAGAAAATTTTTTAGAAAAACTCATTTTACAGATTTTTTTTGTATTTTGAACTGATTTTCATTGTTCCACCTAAAAACGGTTGAGTTAAATAAAAACTAGTTTCATACTTTCCCCGAAATAGTAGTTCTAGAAATCTAGCTAGTCTGAACAAATCTGAATTTAAAAGATCAAGAGAAATAAGGAGATATGTGTTTAAATCTTTAGTTGTCGTTTCACTCAACCTTTTGTTATTGCATGAAGTGCTTGTGATACAAACATATTTCAGTATAACAGCAGGTTCGAGAAGAGGTAACATTTTACAAGAAACCACTTAAAGAATTTAAAAATGAGGTAGGTGGCTTCCTTTAACTTGCATTTGTCTGTCCACATGGGCCACAGAACCCTGTGCAAACAACATATCAAGCAAATCAAGGGGTGCGCTAATACAGTAAAGGGTGAACTGTACTGACACTAGAGACCTTGGGCGCAAAGTCTGGCGCCAACTGAGCCACCGACTCACTAACTGTTCTGTGGTTGTGTTGTATTTGTTTACAATTTGGAAAAACTTCTTTTGACTGTCATGAAAGATTTTTGATTTCTTGCTTCTAGTTTTTGACAAAGCCTCAATGAAACCAATAACATTCAAACCCTTTCCAGGCACAAGGAGATGCTTCAATATTGACTGATGGGAAGTGGACACCTATTGGACTCATTTGGAAACTGGGACTCCCTAAGGGCTGTAGCAGCATAAAAACTATGACTCCTATCTGGTTCCAAATGTTGAAATCCGCTAACATTCAGAACCCGGAGTGTCCAATACCAAAGGTAAGTAAAGTCATGTCTGACCGTCTTAATTTTCAGGTTCAGCCTACTTCACAAATTGTTTATCAAATTAGACTTGACAATAAGTCTTTAGCCCTTAATGTTTATTGCAGGTACAAAATCAATTTGTTCTCCCCCCTCCATAGATTGGATTCTTTTTAGTGATCTATCAACCAGTATATTGTTTAATCTGGTATCCAAGATCACATGTATCCTCGTGAATTATTACTATTAGCATTTTCATAGTTGAACTTATTGAATTATATACATATACGTATAGTTCACTGTACAGATAAAAGTCATCGGTGATTTGTGGGGTTTAAACTCAGGACAAGGACAAACTGCCTTCTTTGAAAAAGCCAAAACGCTTAAATAGTGCACTTTTTCTATTTTATTTTGAACTAGCTGTTTGCCCGTTCTACGTACAGGAATCTAGTAGTAAGTTAAAACCTTATATTCAGAACAGGAGTTGGTTTGCATATTTAGTGTGCATTTTTCCAGTTACGATGGCAAAACTATAACTGTTTAGGAACACATATAAACCTTCTCAAATACAATATCTGACAGTTTCAAAGCCAAAACGAATGCTTCGCAATTATGTCACCCGATCGTGTTAGTCCATATTTTATATCAAACGATGAAAGGATTTGCTTTACAGTATAGATCTATGAGGCATAGCCCTAAGATAGGCCTGTAATTTAAAGTTACTTTTCACACTGGTTAAAAGTAGTTAAAACACTACCTCAACCTCACTACTGCACACTTTATTCGGGTCGAAATTGTTATTAACAATGGTGCTCTTGTCTTTTCCACGAAAAATAAGGACATTAATGCGTTACCAACAGACATACACACACAAATACAGAATTGAGTCCACACAACATTTTTGAGTCCAGACAGAAAACGCTAAAAATTATACAGTAAGACATCAATTAAATTTAATAAGCAATAAGGTGCAATGTTTATAAATAAATAGTGAAAATAGTTATGTGTTTGTATGTAAAAATGATTCTTACTGCTACCACCGGTTCTAAGAAAAAGTAGCAGTACCAACAACCAACGTTTTTACATTTGAGAAAAGAACTGTAGTACCGTACTTACGACTAATGCAAACTATCCTTCTAATCAAACTGTATTATAGGTGTTAATTCATCTGTTGGCAAATATATAAATAAATAAATGCACAGGCCACAAAACATGTAACATGTAACATTAACAACGTAAAGCTTTAAAAACTTACTATGGTTTGCTAAAAAAACTTTCACTTGATGTGGTGCAGTACCGAAGTTATTAATCTCCTTTCGTTTTAATTTTGTTTTTAAGTTTTCGAAAATCAAAGTTATTTTCCATTAATAGCATTATTTGTAAGCAGCTTTTAATGTTAACATATTAATGGCAGTTTGAAGAAACCACCTTTATCCAAACAAAGGTTTTTCATTTAAAAGATTACGTAATCTCTAAACGTTAATCGGTAGGTACATATATCTAGCAAACATTCGGAGGAAATGTGACAAAAAACGCACAAATCTGGGGTTTTGTACGTTTGTAGTTTTATTTCCTAAGTAGGAAAAGTACCGATATCGTTGTCGAAATGTAAGTAAGTAGAAACCAAAAGTGACACATTGGAAAAGCGAGTTTAGCTACATCTGTTAAGTTTAACCTCCGTTACGGTATGATCACAGCGAAATCAGACAGATCTTCCAAAATCGCAGCAACATCCACGATCACCCACTGCAGTTGTGATTTTTTACTTTGCACTTTACACAACTGTCCTTGAAGCGCCGTCAATAAGTGGAAACCTTTGTAAGCTACGGTATTGGTGCCGATGATTAAAAAAATTTAAGTTTCCTTGCACTAATACAACACTGATTCACGGTATTTTCCCCGGTTATCAAAACTCAAGAACAATGGTTGCACTTGCGATTAATTAAACCGGTTAAGTAAGGCACAACGTTTTTAATCTCACTAGGTTTGGATGTGCTGACTAAACCTGATCGGAAATGGTTGCGGTATTTGTAAACAACTTTTAATGTAAACATATCAGTGACAGCTAGAAGTGAGAACTAATCCAAACAGCTGATCGTTATTTCATAAAATGTAATAGTAAACATTGGGAGAAAATTTGACAAAAATCGAACAAAATTGGGTTTTTGATGGTTCGTTATTTTGTTTTCAAAGAAGCGAGGCCATGTTTTTATAGCCAAAGACACTCTCACCAATCCAGTAAATACAGAAAAACGATTAGAACCTTGATCGGTACTCTAGTTTTCTAGGAGTAGGCCGCGTAAAATGACATTTTGGCGTTACAGTCGAAGTCACAGAATGGACAAACAGACATACAGACAGAAATTGAGATAAGACTCGTTTCGGCTTTCTTAGGCTATGAAACGTAAAAATAACCAAAAACTGCATGATTCTAAGCAATGTACAGAGAAAACTGTAATTTTATTTATATAGATTTGGTAATTCTTATAAGGTTACATTTTTCAGGGAACCTACCACTTTATAGATTATCATGTCAAAGGAAAAATTGCCAAAATGGATTCTATGCGATTTGGGAAGTATAGAGTTCGGCTAAGTTTCTCTAAGAACAGTCAAAAGATAGGCTGTTTACACTATGTTGCCAGCATTGTGCCCAAATAAAAACTGTTATCAGCTTGAAACTACCACATGGATTTTTTGTTGAAACCTCAGTTTTCTCTTTTCTCAAGAACAACCTCTTGCAAATTAATATACCTTGATGACAATTTTGTGATGAGACGTTTACTCTGTGGTTGTCAAGGTACTTAATACTTAATTAAACTTCTTGACACGTCCATTTGCTACAAAAAAGTTTTAATAGGTAATAATAAATTTAAGGGGGAAATTAACAAAGTTAATTAAATGTTTTATAGCAAATTTCATCCATAGATTTTTGCTATCAAGGGGTTTGCATTGTACATATTATGAATAAAGACATATTTGATATGATTTGCCATTGAAGCACCCAAAAATAAATAAATTTCTCATTTAAAAAGTCCCACTTTGGTTTAACTAACAAGGACAATCAGAGGAATCTTAAATCCATGTTAGACAGATTCATCTGATTGTTGCATTTAAATTACATTTAAATTAGGTTAGTCTTAAAACTTTGTCCTGCCTAAATATATACTGGTATGGTCTAATTTCTTTACTACTTACTTTGTTAATTTTTACTAAACTTTCTGATCAATCCTTGTACCTACTCAACCCTAAGTCTCAATAACTTTCTCTTAACTAAACTAAGTGAAGTTTACCTTTGTCGTAAGATTTTTTATTGTTAATGTTCGTTCCTACTTTTGTTAAACGATTGTCAATGAATTGGGTAGAAACAGAAAGAGAAGAAACAACTTTTATTGTAAACTTGAGTTTATTTACAAACTATTTAATAATACAAATAACTCTTTCAGGAAACAGACTTTAAAATTAATAACTATCTGAAGCAGACAATTACGTAATTTTTCTACTAAAAAACACCACACACAAACATTACTAACTTACAAAACATTGAAAACAAATCCATACCAACATTTCAAACAAAAACATGATGGAATCAAATAAAAAATTGTTTATTCCAAGAAAATCTGTTTCCTGCAGTGAACAAGTAAATAAATTAAATTAAAAAGTAAATAAATCAGTCTTACAAGGTACGTATTGAGGTGAGACCTCCAGTCTTACTTCTTCTTCTCCTCTACCTGCTGTGGATGAGGTTCAGCTACTTTGAGGGCTGGAGCGTTTGTATGCAAGATCGGAATAGTCCTGCCGACCTTCTCATGGATTTTCTTAGGAGCCTGCAGCTGCAGAACTCCGTCAGAAGACAACGTAGTCTGCAGTACACTGGCGTCGACATCCTCCGGCAGGTGGTAACGACGAGTGAAATGCCGAGAAACGAACCCGTGGTGGTCTTGACGCTCCTCGTGCTTTCCCTCGACAATCACAAAGTTGTCGACGACCTTCACTGTCAATTCTTCAGGCTTGAAATGTTGCACGTGCAACGTCACCTGGACAGTAAAGATTGTGTTAGTATACATGAATCAATGTAGATGGTCTAAATGGTAGATGTTGAGTCAGCGCTACAGGATTAGGGCCCAAAAGAAAGCAATGTCATATGTTTGGATCCTGGTACGGCCACTAACTTTTATCAGTACAGTTCACAGTTCACTCTGGCACTGTACCGGCTCACCCCTTGTTTTGCTGGATACGTTCCATGTACAGCAAAGGGGGCGACCGCCCCCCCCCCCTCGGGCATACATATATATTTTTTTACTGCATGTAATACAGTAGTGCATGCACAGTGTGTAAAATAATTTGTCACACTAACTTTGGACAAATAAATGGTATAAAACAGCAATTTTAGAGACTTGGTTTACACAAACTTTTTGGTGGTACCCCCGAACACCCCAGCTCCCCCACAGTTCACCCCCCCCCCCTCCTTGTGACTGTTCTAGATCCACCACTGGGCTTATATGGACGGGCAAATACAAAATAAGAGGCCTCAAACCTCTAAAAAAAAAATGCTTTTTGAAATTTGAAGTTGGATCACTTGAGAAAATTCTTTGATTTGTATGAACATTTGGAACAAACATGTTAAGCCGCTTCTATTTGGAGAATTCATAAACCAGGTCAACAACTCTAAGAAAAATTATTTTGTGTTGCTAAATAATAAAGCCTTATAGTCAAAATAAAAAAAAATTGTTACTGAGATATTTAAAGTGCTAAACACATTACTGTCTTAAATGTTATCCTACAAAACGAACTATTAATCTGTATGTACATAGAGTGCTTGATTATTACACATTTATGTAGACCACCAATTAAATCTAAGAGGATAAACTTTTACCTTACAAACCTTTTTACAACTCAAATTGTAATTCAATAAATCACCCTTTGAAAAATTTGACTTTTCAAATATATCCTAGTTAGGCCTACCTTGAAGTGTTTCTTATCATTGACAATGGTTGCGTCAGGCTCCACTTGGCTAAGCAGTTTCCAGGGTGGTACTTCCAGCATGGAGGGTGTATGAGGCATCCCGAATCGGTCGTAGTGTCTCGGGTGATCCATTTCGCGGATAAAGTCTCGCATCAAGAACGGAACCAGCGACATCTGCAAAAGTTGACGTTATATATTGAGCATACTCACGTCATTAAACTCAAACATAAATAACATGAAACACACATTAAAATTGCTACATATTTTACGGATAGGATGAAACATCTACTTGCCCATTCAAAGTCAATGGCATTGTTTGTTTGTGTGAAAAAAAAGCATTGGTGAAGTTTTATAGAAAAGTTTTAGTAAAATAGATCTCAAGTGAAATAGTATATTTCATAACAAGAGTAGAAAGTGACCATTACTAAGTAAATTCCCCATCCTTATGGAACAGTTGAAGCCAATTTTATCGTTAGTTCTGTCCGGTTTTCTGTAGATGTCGTGTTTTGTTTACAATTTGTTTCTTGCTATTTCATTAATTTAAAACCTCGTTTAACCAAATAAAACTATCTGATCATAATAAACAATAACTCGTCCATTAGCTATATACCCAAACAGTGTCACAAATAATGAAAAACTAACCCTAAAATAATAGAAACAAATTGTAATCAAAACACGACATCTAAACAAAACCGGACAGAACTAACAATAAAATTGGCTTCAGCTGTTCCATAAGGATGGGAAATCTACTAAGGAACTATGTTTTATCTATGGTAATACATTTGAATAAGAATGAACCCAAATTTTTCGGACCCACTCGGCTCACGGGCCTCTCTGCTCGCCGTTTCCCGCTCACCGGTTCGAGGGCCCCCTCAGCTCCCGGGCCCCCCCCCATTGCGGGCCCTTCTGTTACGCCACTGCAGCTTGACGTTTTTAATGGCAACACTCCCTTTCACACTATGGTATCCGACATCTGGTTGAAAACACTGTACAATTTTATGTCAGGTCTATGTTTCTTTTACATTACACGTTCCTGACTGTATGGTGGGATAATTGTGTTTAAAAAGTCTTGATAAACATAAACAGTGTCCAATTGACAGGTCAGATTGAATACGATAAACATTGCACAGCTGATCTATTTACACTGGCTGGTGGGCTCCCATTGGAATAAAAACCGTACAGAGTATTAAAGCTTGCATTTAACCATGTGTTTCACTGACGCATAGCCATGGCACGACAACCAACCGCTCGGTTCAGTGGACAGTCGACGATTGCAAGAAGGCGGCACAGGCACAGTTTTCCACTGTCGCCGTAACCTTAGTGTGAAAGCTCTCATGGTCTTCTTTACGTTAGCGCTCCTTTTACACAGCACGGTCTAAAGTCGTTAGGCTACTAACAAAAATTACCCATGTGGTTTTCAACAATAAGGCGAAAACCGTATAGTGAAAGGAGAGTGTGTGAGTGGTTGAATGAGTGTATAATGTGTGTAATAACTAGTATAACGTTTAATATTACTGACTAAGATGAGTCGATTTTATTTTGGGTCATTAAAATTCTGGTAAACATTGACAGCTGAATTCAGTTTGAAAAATGTCGTTGATAATAATATAGTGGTAGAATTTATTTTTAGTCATACTGCAGCTAAAACAGCCGTTTTTAATGTATTTTGCGGGTCTAAAGCAGCTCTTTTTCTCCCCAGTGAGTAAAAGTCAGCTGTTGTTAACTTATTTGGAAGCTTGGTGACTTGTCAATAGTTTTACAAAGTATAATGTACACTAAATATAATCGTAATGGACAAAATTATTCACTTAGTTACTTAACATCATTGTTTGAAATAGCAACATTTAAAACAAGTTACAAGTTGTTTGTTTCTTTACATGTAAAGTATTTTTGTTTTTTAACCTAGTTTGCTTAAATAATGGTGCAATATGATGAAAAAGCTTGTGAAACCTTGTCAAAAAGTGATGAAAATATACTATTAGGAGTGCTTGTGAAGTAGTACCATTGAATATTGGATACTGAAGTATTAATAGTAGTTGTGTTACAATAATAGTCAAAGGTAGTACAAATAAAAATTTCTCTCCCAAACAAGTTAGAATTAAAAACAGCATGAAAAATGAAAAAAATAATGCATTAAAAACGAAGATTGCTTTAAAAATCATGTTGGATAAACACCAAATTTTATTTAACGACTTTCATGCTTTGTAGTATTTGAGAATGTTGAACCCCTTACATTGTATGAGCGTGTGTGTGGTAATTGAAGCAAACCCTGAGAAGATATTCTGCTCAGGGATGACAAGTTCTTGAAAATTGAGCTGGTAGACCGCATGACAGGCATAAAGGACATTGTGTTTTGGTACCTAAAAAGGTGACGATACTTGTTATTTTTGACAACATATTATCTGGTATTGTCATCTAATTTAATTTGGCAAATTTAATAATCGCCCAATAACATGCGATGTTATAGTTGTCCAATTTGAAAAAGAAGTTGTGAAAGGTAGTTTGAGAATGAAATATTTCAGGAAAATTTCACCAAGTAACAATGATGAGAGAAGATCAAGGTATTCAGACAATAGTGTTTAATATTTAATTGTTCTTAGCAGTTTTTAGAGTTTAGATTCTCTCGTGAAAGTTTTAGTAGGCACTGTACTTTGCAAAAATCTCCAAAAATACAAAAATCCTAAAGAGGTTTAAGACTAAGACTACAGGTATGCTTAGACAATGCAATATTATTTATAAAATTAAATCTGGATTTTACTATGTATTTGTGCACAGTTTTCAAAACCAACATTAATTATATTCAAAACATTTCAAATTTTTCTACTAATTAAACTGTAGAAGTATGCTATTTTAGCATGAAATAGACCTCTTCAAATAGTAATTTCTGATTATAAGTCAACCTTACAAATGTACTTATAAATAACCTGAAGTAAATAGTAAATAAAAGTAAAAACTTACAAGGCTATTAAAAAAATTAGCTAGCAGCATACAAAAAAGGTTGTAAAACACAATAGTTATTTGTGTAACTAGTGTGCGAACTGGCATTTTGTACTCGTATGTTACACATTATTTTGGTAAATAAATAATGTATCATGGTTAGTTTTATATTGAAATGCTAGTGTTCAATATTAAATAATTATTTATTTTGAAGCTGATTTCTCTAAATTAAAAATATTAAAGCATTAGCTCGCTATTGCGGGAATAGCATGCTGCTTTGGATACTGAAATCTTCTTGATTAGGTAGAACTGGTACATCCTTAAGTTGTACAAATTATATTGTAAATTTTGTTTGATAATGGTAGTTTTACAATGCACAAATTAGTTTGAAAAATAGGCAGTCTTTAATAATTTTGTTAAATAATGCAAGTGTAAAGTTCTTTGTGAGTCAAAGAAATTATTGTTACGCGTTTTTAAATTAGTACCTAAAAAATTGTAAAGTGTTTCTTAAATCATCGACTATTAAACTGCTTTTAATTTTTTAACCGTATACCATTTTACTATTCATATCAACTGTGGACACTTTACACAACAATCATTACTAATAAAACACACTTACGTTTAGAATATCAGGAACAACAATGAAAATCAGAAAATAGCGTGAACAAACTTTTGTAAGATCTTGTATCAACTCACAACATCGACTGGCCGGCTCCCGCTAGGGTGCGCTTTTATATTGGGTATACGACCACAGAAAATATACTACGACGCATCCAGAACGTTCTAGAACATTCTATGAGTTTCCACCCTTGTCTAATTGTCCCCTCTCTCTTGCACGTAGGCCAAACTGTCAACTGTCAAATCTTTATCTCTCTCTTTTCTCGTCACACCCACACAGTTCCATTAGGTTCCTTCCTACACGTTTGTTGGCTATAATCCAGTGCCAATAACTGAATCATGAATCATCATCGATTAGTTTTCCATTGTTGATTGTGTTTCAATAGTAATGGGTTTATGTAAAGTGTAGGAAACTTACAGAGATTAAATTTGTTGTGTAAGTTGTTATTTCTATTTCTAGAGAGTTGTTTACATTTTTGATAGCAATGATAGCGAGAAAATTATGTTGACGTTTTGGAAATAGTTATTTGTGTAGCTAGCAAAGACACTTTGCGCTTGCGTTACATATTTATATTTTTCCTACAGTCACCCGACAAAGTTGGCTTCCTTGTACTGTTTATAGTACAGAAAGCTGCTAATTGCTGCATATTTATACTTTTCCGTACGGTTTATACTTTGTCGTACGGTTTATACTTTGCCGCACATCAGGATTCCAACGAAACAACACAAAACAGCGTGGTTCTATTATGCACGTAATCCGTGTACGCTTGGAAATAGGTTGGCAACACTTAAAGATAATAATACTATGAGCAGCTGATTGACTATTATAACTACGATTTAACCTGTCATTTCGTGTTTATAGTTTCGGTATTTCTGAACTTTCTGGACTTTTCTTTTAAACGTTTTTAAAACATTCCTACGATCTTAATAAACAAGAAAATACCTTTAAAGCATTTTTTTAGGCGCGGAAACCACTTCAAATTACAAAAACATACGGAACTATATTCTCAAAACGCGGAGCACATTTCTTGCCGAGGAAAAATAGTGGAGTGATACGGACCGCGGGTACTACTTTCTCTAGGGCACCATTTGTGTTGCCAGCTGCACCTAAATACTTGTTGTATAGTGTTTGAAAGACTAATTATTTATATGCTTTATAGTGACTGTAGGAAAAATATAATGTGTAACACGAGTGAAAAAGGCCTTTGCTGCACTCGAGATCATTCCGCACGAGCCGCATGATCACCTTGGTAAACATTGCTCTCGTGTGCAGCAAAGTGCCACTTTCACCACTAGTTACACAAATAACTATTTCCTACCACTGAATGGAAACGATCCCATTGCCATGCCTGTAAACAGAACGCAAAGTAGCTCATTGCCGCGCGCGGCAATGGGTCGTTCTCGCTCGCTAATCAGTTGATTTCCCAGTTGTCGTTTCTAGACCAATCACAGCCACGGATCTGGAACGTTAGTTAACGACCGGTAACCTAATAACATTAACCTTTAAAAGCAAACATAACCTAAATGGCATTTTATATTTATCCAGAAAATTAATCTCTATGTTATTTTAAGTTAATTATGGTGGTATGAAAAGTCTTGAGTGTTTTTCGAGCACAAACAGTCATTGCCGCTCTCGAAAGGGGGGAGGTAGTATAGTGTGTATAGTACCGGTATGTAGTATAGAGGTAGTATAGTGGAAAGGAGGGAGGCAAAGGGGTCGTGTCAGTGCACTTACAGTCATTAAGAATTACCAGCTTCTTTACAAGGTCTAAAGCATAAAGTCCAAGTTAGGGATTGCCATTACAAATATTGACGTATAATGCTGAAAAGTTGTAGGAAATGCTCTACTGTTGTAGGCCTACACGAGGCAAAATCATCAAGGAGCTCGTCATCAATGATTTAAATAGACGCTATTTTGAAACGATTTAGATGTTTTAACCATATTTTGCACTAGTAACGGTCAATAAGATGCACGTTTTTGCAGATTCTCAAGCTGTGTTGTAGCTCAAGCCGGGAGTGTGCATGTTTTTGTAAAATACAAATACGAAATACAGACAAATCAGACATACGCTAAACGGATCGAGTGTTGTTTGTTTTTTTTTTTTGCTGAAGGAGGAAAGCGGTTTTCCAGGTTAGAGGGAGAGCTTAACACCCTTATTTTTTTACAAGTGGTTTGATTGAAGCGAATCTCCCATCTTATGAAGTAATTGCTATTGCGGAGACCTTTGAGATACTCTAGTTTTCGCATAGAATTTGGACGTGAGATTCAGAACCCTCCACGTATTGCGTCAGGCCGTTTATTAATTTGCGCCAAAGTGTTGCTTAGCTGCGCCAAGCCCAAGTAGGGATGAGTTGCCGGCAGGAGGAATAACCTTCTTTACGTGTCATCCTAACGTAACCAATTATACAATGAAAGAGGGCCACCACTTGCGACCCCGTTAATGAACTTATCGGGTGGCTCTTTGGGGTAGTTGGTGCCCGCCCTCGTGTCATAGTTATAGTTTCGTATTAGCATAGATTATGGAGTAGATTAAATTTGTTAATTGTCTACCTCTATAATCTATGGTATAGTTATCACATGTATCTTAGTTCATTCAATCATTCAAGATACAGTCCACTACTGTAGTGTCGAATTCATTTGACAATGTTAATTAACAGTTTTCTATGATTGTGTATCATCAATTGTGTTCGTATTCGTTTACTGAAACATTGAACACACGCCGCACCAGAATTGTTATTGCTTTTTGCAACTAAATTAAATATTTCAGTTTCCTGCATTTCAAATTGGTTTAGGAACAAATGGCAATTTTTTTTGTATGTGGCAAATATAAACCTAGGTTGATCTAATTGCAAATCTCCCCGTCAAGATTGCCATCCGATCAGCGCTTGTTATTTCACCAAACTTCAAACATTTAATCACATCAAACGATATCAGGCAATGTAAGAGTAAATCCACTTGTGTATGTACCCTCAAATTAGAGAATAACATTTAAGTAGTGTACCTGTTGCTCGAATTTGAGCAATTGATAAGTAACGGACATTTTAAAATGAATAACAGTCACAATTTCTGATGACTAAAAGATTCGACTCAAAGATTATGGAAATACTCAAGATGTACATAACAGATCGATATAATCAACATTTCTTGTAAATATCTTATCATTTTTCAAAGCTGATCTTGTTTTTTAGTGTTTTCTACAAATAGCCTTACTCATAGCCGCATTAGGTTGTCCATAATAACGATAAAAAAAAAACAAAAACATTATTTCTATTCCTTCTCCTTGGTGGTGTTCTATGACTTTCCTATGTTTCCATAGTTTGCAAATCGGCTCTTTCAATGATTACTAAGAAATGCAGCACGCAGTGTTAATTGAGTTTTCGTTTTAGTAGGATGTATCAATTTATCCAGGCTCTTTCGCTTTTTTCCCTTGTAATATTTACGCCAACCCAAATTCAAATAGTAAATATTTCATTTCAAACAAGTAAGTTAAATGTTTGTAGCAAACTGTTAAAAAATTAGAAAACCTATTGACTGTTTACAATTAACATATGTTCTTCTTCTCACTTTTAATTTCTGACAACAGCTGATCGGCTCTTTCAATGATTACTAAGAAATGCAGCACGCAGTGTTAATTAAGTTTTCGTTTTAGTAGGATGTATCAATTTATCCAGGCTCTTTCGCTTTTTCCCCTTGTAATATTTACGCCAACCCAAATTCAAATAGTAAATATTTCATTTCAACCAAGTAAGTTAAATGTTTGTAGCAAACTGTTAAATTAGAAAACCTATTGACTGTTTACAATAATTAACATATGTTCTTCTTCTCACTTTTAATTTCTGACAACAGCTGGATTTTCATAACAATGTTTGTTTCCCATGTTAATCTTAAGGAGAAATAAAAAACTTTAAAGGGCCTCGCTCTCTAACTAGTAGTACGGTACGCTTATTCTGCGCGTAACGGGATGAGTGAACATGAGCGCAATAATGAAAGAGTCCACCCACACCTAGCATACTTACCGGTGTCACTGGTGAACACAATAATGTTATTTGTATGGGCAAATCAACCCATGATCGCGGCAAATAATGGTGAGTCGGTGGCTCAGTCGGTAGCGTCACGCGGACTTCGGGCCCAAGGCAGCGATGTCGTGGGTTCGGATCCTGGTCACTGCCACTAAATTTTATCAGTACAGTTCACCTTTGTACTGTACCGGCTCACCAATTGCTTTGCTGTAAACGATCCACGCACGGGCGCTTAGTCTATGTGGATGGGCAAATGCAAGGTCAAAAGAGGCTGCCAACCTCTTAAAAAAAAAACCTAAATCTCAGTCAACAACAATCCTAACTTCTCGTCCATTAATTAACCAAAGTCATTGGTAATATACGTAATGTATTTCCTGTTTCCCTCTCTTCTCATAGCATTTTATTATTGCAGATACGTTAATCTAACTTTCACAAAGAGTTCCCACACTCTGGACTGTTCACCTTGACTACTTCCTTCACCACTTCCTACGTCGTGGACCTGTTTCCCTCCCTTCCTATAGCATTTTAGAATTTCAAATAGATTAATTTAACTTTCGCAAAGGGTTCCCACACTCCCGACTGCTCACCTTGACTACTTCCTTCACCACTTCCTACGTCGTGGACCTGTTTCCCTCCCTTCCTATAGCATTTTAGAATTTCAAATAGATTAATTTAACTTTCGCAAAGTGTTCCCACACTCCGGACTGCTCACCTTGACTACATCCTTCACCGCTTCCTACGTCGTGGACCTGTTTCCCTCCCTTCCCATAGCATTTTAGAATTGCAGTTACATTAATCTAACTGTCACAAAGGGTTTTTACACTCGAGAATGCTCGCCTCGACTACTTCCATTACCACTTCCTACGTCGTGGACCTGTTTCCCTCCCTTCCTATAGCATTTTAGTATTGCAGGTATTAATATACCTGGTATATATATATCTAACTGTCACAAAGGGTTTCTACACTCCGGACTGCTTGCCTTGACTACTTACATCACCGCTTCCTACGTCGTGGACCTGTTTCCCTCCCTTCCCATAGCATTTTAGAATTGCAGTTACAGTAATCTAACTGTCACAAAGGGTTTCTACCCAC